CGAACTGATGTGCACATGCGTTTGAGTGCTGCAAACACAGGGTTGCTTTAAATGACACTTTCCTCTCAGTTCGTAACTTCCCTCTAAAATAAGTTTTGAATATTCTTTGGAAGCATATTATTTCTAGCTTTGAACATCAACTGTGCAGCTTTAAATTGTACCAAAGCTATAAATTTCATAAGCTGTGATTTAAAAAAACGTTGATTGGTGTGTTCATGATACCAAACGTGTATGATTCTTATTGCTCTTTTTTTGCATTATGCATATTTTTTGTAGAGGATTTTTATATTATCTCAAACTTCAACAGATTACAAACCTGAAATTTGACCATTTCCCATATTTTTGTCCAATGCTTGTTTAATTTTTAAGCATTTAAAATTCGATACTAATAACTTATCATAATTTAATGAATTCAAACTATAAATAAATCTCAAATATAAACTTTTGAAGTTATTTGTTTGTTTTTACACAGTTTTATTTTGCATTTGTTAAACCTGAAATGGGCTGCTTTTTGGATTTTCAGGAGAATCATGTCTTTAATCCTAATCCCCAGATCACCATGAGGCGGAGGTCTCTGCTCTACATCGTCAACTTCTTGCTGCCCGTCCTCTTCTTCTTGTGTCTGGACTTGGCCTCCTTCATGATCTCAGACAACGGGGGAGAAAAGCTCAGCTTCAAGGTCACGGTTCTGCTCGCCATCACGGTGTTGCAGCTCATCCTGAACGAAATTCTGCCTTCCTCCTCCAACAGGGTCCCACTCATAGGTACAGTACCAAAACATCGATGCAGATGGACCGCATGAACACAAGAATTACAGTTTGTTCACAGTAAATTGTGTTGTCTGCTCCCCTTAGCGGTTTACTGCATTGGCATTTTTACTCTGATGATGCTCAGCCTCCTGGAGACTATTCTGGTGATGTACCTTATAGAAAAAAACTCCCAAGACTGCGAAACGGATACAAACCAAAGTGCAATCCAGGAATCAAACAAAAAGAGTAAAGGCAACTTTCACAGCTGCCACACAGGTGAGACTTCCAGTTCAGTCCAAATACAAACGAGTGATTTGAGCAGTTTTGTAGAGTAGATCCACTCATTCATACTAAGAGCTGAAAAAATGAATAACTTGTAATGCAATATGTTATTATTTAAAGCAGCGGTGCCCAAAGTGGGGTCAAAGTTCAAAGCTGTCCTCATTATATTGAAATTTCCTTTGAAGAATCAATGTGTTTACACTCAGTCATTCCACCCACTGACTTTAATGTTAGATGGAAAAGTCAGCCCAATGATGGCACTACATGGCTTACACTGTGGAGTGGCCTGTTTGTATACATTTTTTTTATTATTTTAACAAGTAATATTTTTATATTTTATTTTGACAGACTTCCTGCCACTGAAAAACATTTTCTTTTGACAAGGCTGGATGCTCATGGCTGCCCATGGCTGTAACTATCATATTGTTGTTGTCTTCATTGGCTTAAAGAAAACAAAACAAAAAAAAAATATATATAAGTACAAAATATAAAGGATCAGATAACAATAATGTGTACTATACAATAAACTTGTTATAAAATACAAAGGACTATTATAGACATAATCTAAACAATAACGTGAAGAGGAAGCAGCAAACTCATCCGACCAATAAAACCTAACTTCAGTGCATACGGGCGTTCCTCAGGGCTGGTCTGCTTTAGTGACTCAAACAGAAAAGAAATATGATAAAAAATGTTTCAGAAAATGTTTGTAGAGAATAAATCAATTTAATTAAGGAGAACATAAACTGGAGTCTCCTGAAATTTAAATATGTGGTTATTAAATTTAATTCTTATTAATGACTTGTTGTGATTGTTTCAAAATGTAAACAGAAAATAGTTGTTCCTTCTTAGTGTTGGAGCTACAGGCCTGCACACTGTAACACTCCTAACGGTGGCAGCAGAGATAAACGTTTATAAAGCTGTTTGATCAAATATACAACTAAACTATATTTAAAACACTCATTCCGCAATAATTGTAAAAGTTATTGTTAGTTTTTACAGTAACTTCTTCAGTGAGAAAACTTAAGAAACTGAGATAAAAGGAGAAATCAAAAACTTTGTATTATTAGGTTTACGGTTAATGTTAGTCAGTTTTAAGAGATTTTCACTTGGGGGATTTCATGTACCGT